TTTTTCAACTTCTCAATGAAATAATAACAAAAATGTATGATCCATTCACATTCTCTCAGTATAGCTCAATTTATAATTATACAAAAGGTGGCAATGACGTAGCTTTGAGTTATTAGTTATTTATCTAAACAGTTAATGCACATTTTGTAAAAAAACAATAAAGACAATCGTAAATAACATGTCATTTAATTTAACCTCGTTATGTAATGACTGACAAAAAAACTTAGAAATCATAACAAGATGGGATTCAGGAACTGGCCTCTTCTACTTTCTAATTTAGGTTGTACCATACGACACAAAAAACGCAACATAACGAAATATTAAGAACAAGAAGGATATTTATATAGTTTCACCAATGCGCTTGTCAGGATAAACTGTCTGATGTTATTGAGAAAAAAAAAGACATTGTTGGGTGGAAAATTATCCTGCCAGTAGAAAAAACTAGCAAAACATGGGACATGTGTTTGCGAGTTCATGTAAGTTAGCCAAGAGCCACGCTTATTCCCTTTGCTTTCGAAAGTTTACAGTAATTATTCTCAAAAATATTCTGAAGCCGCACAATGGCTTAAGATTGTTACGGATAACGATCGCTGGAGTCTCAAACTGATCTAATAAAAGCGATCAATGAAATGTACTGTTGTAATGTAATGTTGAACACGACCAGGACAAACTCAAACTGTATCTAGATATCATGACTAACTGGATTTCTGAAAGGTGAAAAATTATTAGCACAGTTTACTTACAGCTTTTCAAGTAGTTTAAATATTCATATTGCAAATAGTAGGCATTTGAATCGTCAATGTATCCCAAAATTATAACAGAGCTTGGATGCGCCTTTCTTGAAGAATAAATAAGACCTTGAGAATAGAGATTAAATTAACGCCACATGAACTTGAACATATTCCAAGGCCTGTGTGTTTATTGCAACTTAGATCTCACCAGCAGCAGCAGCAGCAAAGCAAGATTGTGACTTCCTTTTAACCTAACAAAAAAAAAAGGTAGCTCGTTTAACAGAAAAATATATTCTTTAACTAAAGAAGATGTTACGAAAAGACATGAAACGCTATTGGCTGCAATTCTATATTGCGCTTCGTCCTGTGCAATAGCATATCTAAGACTCTAAATATCTGAATTGCTCCTATCCGCTGAAATCTGGTAAACTAATAAGGTAGCAACGTAACTTGCAAAAGAACATACGGTAAGCTTATAGATGAGTGTATTCTATATAAACATCATTGTGACCTCTTTCTGACCCAAGAATTTCTCTAATTGACCCAGACAACTGAAAGTACAGAATGCTAATTTTAGGCCAATAATAGGCTACAGATATCGCTTGGTAACAGGAGTTTATTCGCCGGCATATCTTAACGAAGAAAATCAGAAGCCAAAAGTAGTTACATACCTAAGTGTAGTTTAGAATTTACGTAAAGACGTTACCTAATTATTTTCACGGAGCTGAGTGACGGATATGAAATCCGCACTACTACTATGAAATATAGGGTGGGAAAAATGCTTATGTTCCACGTTGTCTCTATATGTAAACAGGCGAAATGTGTCAAGCAGACTGTCAGGTTTGGGATTTCCGATAATTTAACCCTACTTACTGGAGCTTACTTTTTGTAAAAACTTACTATCCATATAACGATTCTAGCACTTCGCAGATGTCGCAGAGAATATGGACTGTACTTTTCATTATCAAATCTAATACTGAAAGACTAATTAACAAATCTAGAGACACTGGCCTATTTATAGATAAAATGATGCCAGAAAGATTACAACATCGCTGTTGTACGGAGAAATGTACATCCCGATAGAGAACCTCAACAGAACGTCGTACTTAACAACTAAGACTATTGAGGATCATTCTACGGCTCATTTCTAAACAAGAGTTCTCTTGTTAGCGTTACGAAGTATAGTGAACTGAACATTTACAAGTCCAGGACTATCGTAAGCGTCGATTCCTCATTAGTTACATGTTGAAGCGCAATGTATGCGTTAGCAATTCATTTGTCCACATTACCTTTTCTAATAAAAGTCATTCTCAGTTAAAGTGCCATGTTAATAAAAAAACATTATTGCACTTGGGTTTCAAAGAACTCAACGAAGAGTGTCAAATAAGGACATTTTTCTTACTTACAAAGGGTCACTGTTTGGTGTGACTTCTGGGGCAAAAGTATTATGGGCCTTGTCTTTTGTTGACGTGGATATGGAATAATAGCAAGAGTAAGTGGCAAGCTCTATCGAGACGAACATTACGAACCTTTTTATGGGCCGGAATATAAAAACTCATTGGTTGTAACCCAATGTGACAAGCTACCCCATCGATCAGGAAACAGTCACCCTGTCTTGACAGGCTGATTGTACGCTCTATAAGTCTTTTTCTATCCAGCTAAATATATCCTAGCGCCGAAAGTAATCCACGATATGAGAGACCGTCTTCGATGGCTTAAATGAATACTCATCTACGATATCAGGCGACGACGGTTACGCCAAACGGGTTAACTCACGCAGGGGGTCCCTGAGAATGCATTCAGTAAACATTAGTTTCTATGTGTAATATAAATTCAACCTCCTGGGCTGGGCTAACGTGACAATAAGACATATACGCAGAAAAACCTATTTTTGATTCCCATTCCAGTGGTATTGAAGTGGAACGTGGATTATTGGCCTATACTACAAAAACATTCAAAGAGTCTATTAGAGCTTCTTGATACGCCTTAAGTAGCAGCTGATTGCATGACGAAACTGAGCTGCATATCCTACTACGATGGCACCTCGTACTACTCAGTCTGTGCTACTGTATGTAGGCGTAAAAGTCGTGTCTGTTTTAATTCTCTTGCTCGAAAAAATAACTTCGCATCACGCTATCTAAGACGGCATGTACATTTATATTGAAGTCTACTTTCTACATTAATATGTATATATATTAAGTATTTATTATAGTAACTAAATTGCTAAGAGTATTCAACAGCGGCGGCAACAGTGCAATAAGCAAACGCGCTACTATGAAGTAGAATTGTATTGAGAATAGCAATTATAATAACGACTCGAACGTGTTTTTCTATTAGATTTCATCAAACCCTATTCATTCTATAGCTTAATGCGAAAAATTTTTAATTATCCATTTATCTATCATTCTGATGAGAAAACACAGTCACGTATATAGACGACGCCCCACAGTTCAAGGGACAATTTGTCTAGCCAAAGCTTTCTCAAGTGCCTGATTTTATGGTATCGGGCTGCCGTCACGTGAATCACAACATGACCAACCCCTTTAGCTTGCGATTTTCGTTCACCATTTTAGCACCGATATAGCCGAACACGCATGTCTGGGGCAAGCTGGCGGTTCTTCGTTCACTTCGAGAGAACCGATTGGACAAGGTCCTGCTTGTTTTACGTTGATCCGTCATGAAAAGAGCAAGGAAGGCTTTGCAGGCTTTAGACCACGCTGCCTGACGGAAAATACAGTTAGCTGACTGGTTAGCTGGCTGGCCTGTAAATTAAACGGCGTTTAAGGCTTAACCGAGTGCTCGGTAATGGAGTTAACTTTCGTTTGAGCACGGATGAACTCAACGGTCTGCCTACGGCAGCATTTACGACGGACACCATAGCTTAGTAATAAACGTACTAGTACTAATCAGCCCGACTTCCAGCGTCAGCGTTACTTTTGACGGTAGCGCCACCAGAGCGACTTCTGCATACTCGTGCGGGTCGCTCAATCTATTTTAGCTCACGCTACGCGACAGAAAACTTATAAGACATGGCGAGCTCAAAAGAAGCCATATATTTGTTGTATACAAGCGAAGATCATCATTGCTAGCATCAAAAGACTTCAGTTGATAGCATAAACGCCAGGCACTACATTACGCTTTTTCGCGTTATGGCTACCTATGTGACATTAAATTTAATACAATGTTTTGCACTGTTTAAGGTTCATGGAGTTATAGTATGTTCAAACTGCTCATGTAAGTTGTGACACTATGTGGGCTACACATAGCGTTTCCTATATAGGTTTCAGGTCACTTCCATTCATCCGCTAAGAGTAGCCGCATCACTGAATGTCACTTGACAGAGGAGTGCCATCTGATGCAATGCTTATATAATTCTGGACGTAAAATAGCGAAACATCGATTGTGCCAAGCATCATGAAACGCTGGTATCAGCATGAGCAATATAACGCTAGAAACTGGAAACACGGGTAGAGAACATGCACACACTTGGATAGCGTTAGGGCAGGCACGGTCAACGCGTTGCCGTCGTTCGTCGCATATGTAAAGACGATGGTGTAGTATAAACGAACGGAGACAGACTACCTAGACGACAAGATACAATCAGTACTTTACGCGAACAAAGAGTTGGAGAAAGCGTTGGTAAATCATGACCTCTATCTCTGAGCCGCAATAAAAACGCCGACTGTTTCTGTCCATGTAGAACAGTTATTGTTGCTACCGGCGCTGCTGCAACTGTGTGGAAGTATTGTAAGTAAGGAATAACTAATAAAACAGTTTTCGACATTATCTGTACATGAGTTATCTAAAATCGGGTATCAGAGTAGTAAGGTATGCTTCAAGAAGCCGAAAAGTGCCATGAACTTAGACAGGCGTTAGTTAGAAAAGACAGTGGATAGAAGTATGCATGGCCTTATTTCTCTTCAAGTATGTTTCGGACTCATTGCCTGAAGATGGCTGAACTTTTTTTACAAACTTTGTTTTGCACCTTAGTACAGCGCACATATAGCACAACTCAATCTGTAAAACTGTAGATTCTGAAAAAAATCGCGTGCTTCCTCAAGCTCCGTAGACGAGCCTAAACGAACAGAAGTTGCCAAAGGCCGTGTAGAATTTACTTCTATTGTATCTTACATTGGTGCGTACGTATTAGTGACTAGCCATGTCTTGACATACATCCCTCATGTACTACGCCTTCATTTTACTGTCTCTGGACTAAAATTTCATCATCTACAACACTTCGAAAAGAAGAAATCTATAAAAGACGAATAATCATTTATAAAACATTTCAATACCTGTTCTTCTTTTATTATCCTTGGATGTCGTGGACCGGCGCTACTGGGAAATTTTGTTTTTTGCAATATCTCCATATTGATTCTGCTTGCTATTGATACGTACATCCTCAAGTCATTGGTAAACATGTGCTACACATGTGCTATTCCGTCTGGTGTAGCTTTTTGCAAGTCTACAACAAATACTTCAACCAGTACAGGACCAAACCCGCAATCACTATAGACACTCTCATGTACAAAACGCTGAACCGCTAATTAACTGATCGAAGTTAACGGAAAAGGTTCCATTTTAAAAGTAGATCTTTAGTCACTTCGTGACGTTATTAGCAATATTTAAATACCTTAATTTGAGCAATAATAAATCGCGATCCATTCTATGCGACGGAAGTAAGAGGTTAATGTATGCGGCATAAAACACGGTGCCCTTTATTCAAGCGTAAGCCCCTATCGTAAGCAATTTGGAAATCACGAAACTATCCCTTAAATATATATGCTGATTGCGCCCTAAATCAGATCTATCAGAAAATTCGGAGTAAGTCAATGATGAGCTCTTCGAAAAATGATCACACAATGCTTTCCTGATCTATAAGCTGAAAACGATCCCTTTTACCCTTTCTTAAATATTTTAAGTTTAAGAATAAGTGAAAGCCGTTTTGCGTCTAAATAAAAGACGCAATATTGCACTTAAATTTTGCCAACAAATTCGTTGACGACGTACTCGCTGTCACTGGTTACGATCGTCGTCCCTCTGTCGACAATTTAATTTATTCTTCTTAAGCAGGAATTTTCAGGTCTAGTTTTGAAAGGCTCACTCAGCCAAGTTCTGAAATCCTTTTCATTGTTAATTGTAGGATTACTTCTTTGGTTTACAATTGATCCATCAGCCCGAGCTCTAGAAGATACAGTGCATGTAAGTGAGGCTTCTACTCAAGCTTTTGCAGGACGGCTTTCACAATCCTTGCCACCTGCGATCCACCATTGTCGTGCTGAAGGATAATTTTGGCCCATCTGTCGGACCTTTCCTGTTGAATAGCCTCGTTTTATTGAGGCAACCAGACGGTATTCGGGTCTTCATTGACCGTCCTGCTTTTCTTAAGAATTTCTCAGTATACATATAAATCATACAAAAAGCATGGTCCTCTTGAAATAGAGCTGTAGCTTGACTCTGCGATTGGGTTCATTTACTAAAGTTACCCACTCTTTTCTTTATTTTATAGCGAAGTGAGACACCACTTCTAGTCGCTGGTGACCATTCTGCGTAGAAATCCGTTATTGTGGCTTCGTGTTGCTCTATGCCGGGTCTGATATTGAGAGCCAATAAGAAGTTGTTTTGCTATGATGTTCGCTTACTTCATTGGGCTTCTATTCTCGTACGATAATAATAATAATTGCCCGCGTCAGATTAGTCGGCGGCCGTGACAGGCGGCCTTGAGTAAGTACTTGCCCCAAGTCAGTTAGGCTCACAAATTCACAAATTAGTGTGATTTCTACAGTCGACGCAACAACATCACACAGAAGTTCCTTTCATCCCTCTTGGCAATTTGCAACATGTTGGCGCCTCAAATAATGGAGAAAATATTTATCTGTATACCGTTTGTGAAGTACTAGTTTTTATGTAAGTTATGACGCAGCTATAGACGAATGTTTTTTTCTTTTCCCACGTGTACACACGTATTGCATGATTGGTGTTCGATCATTTTAAAGGTGTTTTAAAAAAATTTTCCATTGCATTTTGTACTGCGACGATACATTGTAGGTCAAAATGAGAGCCACGAACTGCAATTTGCAAATTCGATATCATTGGAAGATGGCAAACTATGGTTTTTGACATGAGTGTTGTTAAAAACGATGCTAGAATTGCGGGACAATCTTTGTCAAGACATACGTACAGCTCCTAGTCAGTAGGTTGTGCATATTTATGGGACTTCATCGTCTCCATGTTAACACACCTCAGCCCCCTATTTCTTCATACGAAGGGCGCTACATGATAGTGGTACCTGATAGCAGCTTAATTTCGACTTCGTCCTTTACATCTTTTCCTGAGGTTCTCAAGAAGCGCTGAACGGTCCGCTTAGCTTTAATAAAAACACGTAAGAAGCAAAGCTTCGTTTTGCGATGTCTGTTTGCAAATTTAATTTCAATCACGTCCCGTTGATTATGTGCCGCAGCTTTCGTACTGGACGCTTCTTTTGTCACTGCGTACATAAGAACATCTGTTAGGCGCGTTTTATGTCGCAAGTGTCTGGTCACAGCGACTACATTTATTTACCTCTTTTGCGCTTTTTCGTAAATCTGCTGAGATCAGGATTTTCCTAGGGATGTATATTCGCAAAACGCAACCTAGAATGCTTAAAAAATAGATCACATCGTCGGCAAGAGCAGCGGTAGATATCGCTGGAGATTTTCAGCAGCCATTGATAAAACGTAAGCAGCTGGCTAAAGGGCACGACGTTAGGGACAAGGAAGTTGAGGAGTGCCGCTCAGTGGTTCAACGCTGTCCCCGTTTAGCAAACGTTCGTAAATTTTCTGATAGAACAAGATCTTGTTGTTGCTATTATTATTATTATTATTGTTGTTGTCAAGCGATTGGATAACAAAGAAACGTCAACAACTGGACAGGTCATATCTCATTCAGCATAGATGGTCGAAGTGAGCTTCACCGATAACGTTGAGAAAATATACTTGTGAATTGAAACGGTAGTTGGACTAATTGGTGCTTCTGAATAGTAGCGAGGGCGCTCTTAGCAAGAAGGTAGACTAGGTGTGTGTCTTAATAGATAGCCAGTAACATAATAGCTTATACAGGGATGGCTTATTCTGGAGAGTTCAATATTATTCATATCTAGCAGTGCGTACACTCGTATTCGTTTACTTGACTGCTAAAATAACTAGTGCCACCTTCCGTACACCGTATTACCTTCTATCTCTTCAATTACGTCAGTCACTTAATTGAAGTTCATAGAATGCAAGGTTGTTCACTGAATAAAACAATTCTTATTGACCTAAAAATATGCCTCCATAATATATCGTGGTTGGTTTTACTGAATCTTGCCTTCACTGTCATTTACTTGTTCATGATCGTACCAATATCGGATGATATTCTAAGATATTTGCCGCCGTGCTCAACAAACAGATCGATTTATACGGTAGAGGTCAGTGTGCAGGTTTTCTGGTCCTGTACTAGAGTTAGTCTTGCTTCTCTCATTCTACCGAGAGGCGCCTACACCTTTACCTTAAAGATTAAAATAAAAAGAAAATTAAAAAAACTCTTTTTCGATCCTTTCCGATAGAATCTTATTCAGTTTTTAGACTTTCCACTCACCCTCCTAACTAATCTTGCCATCTGTCGCCGCTGAGATATTTAGGTTGCAAACTCGGGCAGTTTTCCTAGATGTTCTAAAAAGAGCCTTTAGAGCAGTTACGACGGAAAAATATTCGTAACTTAGTCTCTATTTGGTCAGTAATAAACATGCCTGAGCGTATTTTCGACTTCAACTTATTCACTTCTTCGAGATTCTTGGTCTTTACTAAGTTGATTTTCAGTAATCTTAAGTATGAGCTATTCATTTTGTAAAAATATTCACATTCAACGATGCGATATATTCAAGCTGGTTCGTTAGAATATTAAACAGCTACGCTACCGCTAAACAAATTAAGAATTAAACTAACTTCATATGACAAACGAAAATGACACATGTTTACTCTTAATTTTGTTTCCGTAATAATACTGATAACAATGGACAATAATTGGTTTAAAAATGCTAATACGTTTATGAATTTGTAGACGTTGAGGAGTCTTTAAAAACACTAGTTGGAGCTATTACGGCTATGGATTTAATTTATTTTTCTTGATATAAGTGACAGAACGAATCAGGCGTCTGTAGTGACTATCCAACTAGATTAGAAAAATTTGTTACGTATTAGAATCAGTTATTGATCACCACCAATCAAAAGTACCTTGTATATATTCTTTCTTGTCTATAGAATCTTTACTGCTCCTCTACTTGTTCCTCATATTCTACGTAACTCAGAGCTGTCAGAGCCGCAACAAAGTACGTCAATGTGCGAGTTCCTAACTCCTTCACTTCGACCACTCTCATACGAGAAGAGGTCTACTCAAAGACACGTTTGGCGGCCGGTCGACAAAAAGCTCTGCTTCAGTCAAAGTATAGCCGGTTTGACTGGATATATACTATTTTCGAGTCAATTCCCTTATGCCAATATACCGCGTTTAAATTTGTACAAAGCTCTTCGCCGCTTACGGACTATCTATAGACTGGGACTGTATAGATCTTCCAAAAAAAAAAAGATCGGTTTGATTGAGTAATACCTATAAGAGGAGTGCCGCTATTCAGCTGAGTACCTGCTTGAACAGTTGACTAGAAAAATAGAGAAACGTAGTCCATTTTCATTTTCCAGCATTTTCCTGAGGTGGAACAAGCTTATCTATTATTTTTTCCAGTCTTTGTTGGAAGCTGTTAAATGAGAACAAAGCTATAACTCTCCTGCGCCCTTCTTCACCCAGCTCGGCGACGAGGTTCCGATCTCGGCAAAGTTTTAGCATTGCGTCTCCAAACGCCTGAGGTGTTGACTCGCACAAAAATCCTGTGCTGTCATCCTTGATCTAAAAAAGCGGAAATATTAGTGCCGTATAGAGGACAGGAAGTTAAGACGCTTAATAGCGACGACCATTTGTAGTAAACATATTATAGTACGTTTAAATATATTCCGTAATAAATTCAATCAACTTACGGTTTCTAGAGGCCCGCCAGTATTTGTTGCAATCACAGGTCGACGCATGTACATGGCTTCCAGGGGCACAATACCAAAGTGCTCGTTTTGAGGTGTATAAAGGACACCACAGCAATGATACAACAACAGCTGTTTCTGGGCATCGGAAGGAGACCGCAAGAACGTGATTCTATCTGCTACGTGGAGCTCCTCTGCGAGCTGTTGTAGCTCTTCAAAATGTTCGACGTTTTCCGGGAGCGCTTCGTCGTAGCCGCCCGCTATAACCAGATGCACATCCGACTCGCCGCAAGAGATGACGTACGCTAACAGCAAAGTGACAATTAGATGAGACTTTAACGGATCAAAGCTAGAAGGCAATACATTTTATTTCGAGTTAATATTTCAATATAAAAGGTGGATGCTACAACGTAAACACAAAACCAATCTGAATCGTAGAACCAACTAACCTTTGCTACTACGTATCAACATCAGTACGACAAAATTTCAAGGTTTCACTAGAAGATCACAACGTGTTAAAATAAACTTGGAGTTTAACGTCCGACACCGCTACTAGGCATTATGTTAGATGGTGCAAGAAAGCAATGACTAGCCCGTAATTCAACGAAAATAAAGCAAAAATCATATTAGTCCTGCTTAGTGTCAATCGTGTAACGTATTTCAAGGCCACAGGTATGCGGATAAAATATACACACCAAGTGCTTTAATGGCAAGACTGATCTCCTTCTTGCGTTCAAACCTGTTGAGCGATAAAAATGTAGTATCTGAATTTTTCGTGAGCGCTATGTCGTTGAGGTCGCCTTGCATAGGAGCATCGTACAAAGCCAGACCCACGGTGGGATAGAGAACTTCAAGCTGGGTCTTTGCCAATCGACGGAAGGTTTTCCGAAAAACCTTTTCTGTGTATCGGGAATTAACCACAATAAGATCAGCCAGCGAAGTACTGTATTCTTCAAACCAATTAATAGGCCATCTGAATTACAATTAACATAATAAATCTGTGTGAGTGATAGTGAAGCTATTGTGGATTTTATACAAACCATTTCGAAACAGAAATGCGCCAGGCATGCTATAGGCATTGCTCGTTCATCATACAGTCGCATAACAAATCAGATAACATTATTTAAATGCTTATTGACCTGTACACATCCCGTAGGGTATTTTTTTTCTGAACTAAAACGCAGTCCGGATGGTGGCAGTAAAAGAGTATGGGTACTCGCATAAGCTTCAACCACGGAATACAATGTGACACCTGCAGGCAACAAACAGAAAGCGGATATATACATGCATTTACACATGTGTACAAAAGTCTTTATTAAAAAACACCGATTCTTAGAATAACATGCTTACTATGTATGTCATTATAGTCTACAACGTATATAGTTAGTAAATTGATTCACTATGTTTTCTCAAAAATAATAGCCCCACCTTTTCAACAGACCCATGTGATTCGCGCAGATCAAATTTATGGCAATATGAATTAATATGTTCTTAGATTTCAAAGACGCGTATTTATCTAAAATGAATTCGAAGTGAAATATTTTCGTTCCATACAGATGACAAATTTCAGTCTTACCTGATCAACAAAGATGAGATCTGGTTTGAGAGCAGACTGGCATCGGGCAAGACGTATGTACAGAGCCAGGTAAATCATGCGAATAATTGAACAGATGACGTAAAATTTACCCAAAATCGAACGCGGAAGCCAATCGCCGCATACCTAAATGATCATGGTAGCTATTAGTTTTACTTCCGCGATCATTAGCAACGTACAATGATCGAATATTCATGCGAGAAGCTTGTATGTGCCCACTTAGCCTGCTGTTTAGGACTGGCGACAGGTAGGCCGCCACAAATATCTCTTTTATGTTTTTACAGGTTGTCGTTTGCGGATCGGAGAGGAAATTTCTAATCTAAAACGGTTTACTAATCCCTACAACTTGTTATAAGCATCTTCGGTAGCTCATTTTTGTTGTTGTAGCAGTTTGTTGTTTAGGAAGTGATGGTATATGGCAATATGTAAACTTAGTAATTACCTTCTGATTACAATATTACTTTATTATCGTCAATTGAGCTACCAAATACTTTTTGACGAGCGTTTTTCTTCCTCATTTTTAAATCAGGGGATGTCTTACTTAATTAAACGCTTTATGCATCATCAGTTCACTACCCTGTCTCATACCCGCATATATTTCCTATACGATCACCCGATACGAATATCAAATATGTCTTTATTACTATTTCGTACAAAGTTGAATTTTAAATGTGCTAGGCTTGGAACACATTGTTCTTTTAGTTGCTTTTAAACAATCAGAGCTATTTCGGTCAGGTTTGCAACTATTTGAAACGGGTGCATAAATGACAACTACGTACCTAATTTTTATTCGTGGAAATAAGGCATAAAAGCAATGCAGTGAAAAATAAATAACCTATCTTCGAATAGAACCCTGTATTTTTTGAACAATTTGTACAGGCAGAAGGGTCAGAGTTGGATACAAACCGTCACGTGCAATTCTCCACGCGTTTCAGGGAAACAGTGCGCCTGGTCATGATGTGATGTGATGAATTCAATCTGGTGTCCTGCTTTTTTTAGGGCAAGACCAGCATCTACCACGAGCCTCTCGGCACCACCAATACCAAGATCAAGATGCACGAATGTCACACGCATCTTTACTGATCACAAACTATAGACAAATTTACGCTTGCATATACACGAACTGAGTGGCATGCCTAGCAAAAGGGCTACACGTTGACACTAGTGTGAAATCGAAAAAAAAAAAACTTTCATATACGACACAGATTAGCGCCCGTAATTAAATATCAAAGGAACTTCTTTCCGCAAATTGGGCTCCTGCAGGTGCATAAAGCTTAACGAAAACATTGGACTGTGGCACAATTTGATTGAGTGATTTTCCTTCTGCTCCTTTTTGTACGACTAAATCATGATTAATACTGTTTTCTGTGTTATATATTTATCGATCATATTGACTTCTTACATCTAATGTTTTATTTCAAACAGTTCTATCTTATTGGCATTTGTGATTGTATATCACCTAGGAAAGCCGTCTTTCACTGAATCAGGAGTACTTCCCTTCCATTATTAGACATGAGCATCACTCACTTGTAGCATACATGGAGAACCCCTGCCCGGCTGTTACACGTCTCACAGTGCAGTTTGTTGACAGCGGAACGCCGAGTTATCATGCGGCGTAGTGATCGGCATAGAAGCTTGGTTCGCTCATTTTAAACATGCAAAATATACCAATAAACTCTGAAGCTCTGGCGGGATAACAACGCTATTAAGTTAGCGGAGTTTCTTACAGCTATTTTCCGCTTCAAAATTTGATTATCGTCACTGAGTACGCCAGCGGTCGTGGACTTCGTCTAACACACTTCCGAAGCGCAAGTCTCGACGCGCTCATGACTGCGATACCCTGTGACCATAGAAACCTGTCACAGCTGACCGGTGACGAGCGAAAAAGCCGCGGAGCCAATTTTTGAAACGTTCGAGTAAAACATCAGTGCAAAATGGATATCTCAACAAATTCCAACCTGTAGCGCTTGTATACGTGCGGCGTAAAGTGAATCACCTAAGTTTAACGCCAATCGTCAGCCCAACTCAGGTGGACTCAAAAAGGAGACAGCGGAGAGCCTGGTCGTTTTATTTGTCCTGGCTCAGCGCGTTTGCGGGCAAGCGGGTTTCACCTTGCACTGCTACATTTTTTGTAGCAGAATCAAGCAATCGGTTCCCGCGGCCAGTAGATATAACAACATTGGTCGTAGGATGGCTTCAACGGTTCAGTATGTCTTGGTGCGTTCCGACCTTCTTGATGATTTAAAGTGGCCCATTGGAGCCGTCATCGCACAGGTGTGTACATATAGGGGCCGAGCGATGAAATTGATATTCGTCAACAAAGCTTGCGTTCCATATGCCCTGGTTAGGAACTATTGCTTTTCATTAGCGGTAAAATATTGTTGACAAGTAAAGCAAAAGTTAATGTTGGAAACAAAAACGCGTGACTCATGTCGTGTGCCGTCGACCAACACAGGTCTACTAATGAGTTGTAATGAACGATCATTCAATGCTAAACAAAACTAACTGGATTCAGCTACTGACATATGGCTTTAGCGTAGAAACGAATTATTCCTTATAAGGTTATACTCGGACTGTGCTACGAAAGAATCGAGTGATTTTTCGTGTCTATATTACCTGGCAACTTTTTTTTAACGTATTGTCATTTCTTTTCCTGTACTCATTTACTTTCATAGGCATGCCACGCATCGACAGCGGCGCTGTATTTATTTCGCGATGACGAAAATACCAGAAAGTATACTGACAATTTAGATTCTATGCATAAGGTGAGTTTGTTGACACTTTAATGCTTTATTTGGGTAATGCCTATGTTAGAAGACCGCGAGAAGAGCAAACAGTATTTTGTCCGACAATGACATCATTCGTAAGCCGTATATTTGATATGTAGTAAAAGGCGAAAGCAGAGTCTTTCAACCATTCGTGGATGCTTGATCATGTCCTTTCGGGTCGTTCTTATCTTGAATTTAGAACCCATTAACGTCATTGCATAATATTATGTCCATTTAGGTTGTGCTCGCTTGCCCGAGCGAAAGGGAGCTTCGTGCTATTCATTTGAAGTTGACTGCTGCTTCCATCAGCCACAAACTTTGGATGGAACAACCGGAAGATATTGCGACCGCATTAGCAACAAAACCATATCCTAAAGCGGAAATTGCGTCATTTTTCAAGCATCTAAAACTCTACAAATAAATCTAATTGCACAACAATATCGGCTACAAGGAAGAGGAATATGGCGGACGAAGCAGAAGATCAGCCTCGTATCGTGTCACACTTACGTTATCTGACTCTCAAATATCTTCACTTTCGTAAATTACTCAGCTAGTAACGTGCACAGTTATTATACTTGGGTGAAAGGATATTTGAATTATACCTGCATAAGCTGTTTCCTACGTGAATTTTTTATTACTGATATCGATGTTAATATTGAACGTAATCCATACAATGCGTTAATAGATGCACGATACACTACGTAAAAATTAATTTTGCTAGCTGCATTTTGCATTTTCGATTGGATACTCTTAATTCAAGAGATTATTTATTAGCTTAATTACATTACATAGTTTCCATGGAAACCGTTTGCAGCAAAGAGCTAGAACATTTTAGCCCTAGTTAGTAGATAAGCTTTTCCGCATCTCTAGTCAAATGCGAGACCATTCATAGTAGCGTCTACTACGAACTCCTTCTATTATGTGGCCCACATGTACTCACTACAATTTACCTATCTTCAAGATAATATCAACTGAAGACACCCACGTCGTTGGGCTACATAGCCCCATAAAAAGGGGTTATATGTATTAGAAATGGGGCTATATGGCTAATGGTTCCATGCGAAGAAATGAGCCACTCTGCAGAGGTAAAAAGAAAATGATTTTTTTCGCGGGAAGAGCTATCAATGTGGCAGAAAACATAATGCTTTATAATCATTTACTGGCAACTTAGACAGGTCAAAGGGTCATCGACCATAGCTTCAGGTGAAAATGCCGCGCAGCGTGAAGCCGGCTCAAGTATTGACACAACGACGAATTGCGCTCCCTTCAAGAGATGACGAAGAATAGTAACAATATGCGCTCCGCTCTCCAAAGCTACTGCACGGAAACCTCTATAAATATAATGCTCACGTATAACTCTGGTATAAATAACTATGCGTGGTAAGTTCTGACCAATGACTATGAGTATTTGCGATGTGGTGCATGTGACGGCAATTGTTTGACTGAACGATGCGTTATGTCAATAAAGTCGCCAAAATATCCTACAAAAACAGCTATATTTGGCACGTTATTAACAATAATGACACGGGCTGCAATGCTTCAGTTTAATTTGACAGGTATACATATGCTGGTTCTAACTAATCTGAATTATATTGTGAGGCCGCTTGATCTTTTACAATTTTTCTGCTAAAAATTAACATCAGCGATATCTGGTGTGACAAGTTCGATAAAATTCTAAGAAAAAAAAAAAAGAGAGCTGTATCATATAGGCCACCTTTTGAATTTTGGTCAAGGGAAAAATTCAATAACCTGAACTGCCGAAATCTAATAATTATGATAGTTTAACAGTATTGAAATTCGAAATAAACGTCCCCGGGGATGTCTATGCAGTTTTATCGCTCCCTGTGATAGGCACCTGCGATTTTAAGAACGAAGACAACTAAAAAATATTTATATACTGATGTTCGGCTGTGTTGTTTATTGAGTCGGTATTATATGAAATTTGCTTTAAAAAAAACGTATAGGGCTAAAAACAGTTTGTTATTCATTAAATCAACGGCTAAAGCTGTTCATTTTCGCTGGTAAAGAACAAAAGGATGAAATCGAATTGCAACTGGCATTTGGCTAAATATAACAATTTTTCTATTAACATCTATAGTATAATATCAATATGCTATGAATTCTCATCTACTATATCAATGGTATCAGTACCAAAAGATTCTGAACTTCTGTGATCTCTGCAGAGGCAGTGTTGTCTAGGAAATATTTTCTTCAATAATACTCGCAGTACTTTACCCCCAAAACCCTTGCTTTTTATGGCACAATGCGAATATAATAATAATAAAGCTAATATAAATTTGCGTTTATTAAAAGTTTAGGTTTTATCGATGTTGAATATCAATATTCAATTCAATTGACAATAAGAATAGAACGATCACTCTTTTTTTAATTGTTAGCTGCGCTATAAATGATTACATGTGCGTGATAAGTGCGCAGTTACTCTGAAGCGAATATGAGCATGATGATAAATTTATACGTTATTACTATTATTATAGTACCCTAACGAAGGTAATAATGTTGAACCTGAATCTTCAGGCGCTGCCTTTAACGACCAAGCTGAAGTTATGCGTTGAAAAAATTAGAACGCATTTGCTATAAATAGATGTCGGATGTCGTGCCTGCTCTGTTAACACCTTTCCGGTCTTCGCCTCCAATTATAGTTATGCCTTATTTTCACTTCTAAAAACACCCCAGACTCCGATTTTTATTTCGCTCGCGCAGATATGGTCCTGCAGTTCCTTTTTCCGTCATTTTTCAATTAGTAATGGTATAGGGTACGATCAGTATAGACGCATACATTCCACATCGATTGCAACGAATTTTTTTTATCTAATTGGACACGATATACGTCAGCTTTCATCTATCTCTGTCCCATTGTTTAACTTCACCTGGGATATGATCTATTAGTCATTCACTGCCAGTGGCTAAATGCATCCATTTTATTATTTCCTAGACATGCGCACATTTTTTTAGCTGTATCCCAGATCGATTTTACCCCATCACGGTGTCTATGGTGTTTATCTATAGAGAAGATCGTGTGTGACTGTATCTATCATAACTGATGCCAGCTGACGACGACTAGTAGTGGGGGGCCAGCCAGACCTACTAAAGTTGTTGTCGGTCAGCGCAGTGAACTCCTTCAGTTCGGTTTCGTTACCGAAGCGTAGGCTGTTCGTTTGGTTCATGAGTCGCCTGTTCGTCCGCAGGTAAACGACGTTTGCTGTCAATGATGGTTCGGTCAGGCTGACGACGGCGACTGAGCTGTCTGCAGCGGTGTTGTCCATCGACGTATTCGTGTTGCCACTGCTGCTGGTGATGTTCTCTTCTCGTTCCGTTGTTAGTGGTGGTTAAACGTGTGCTTTTCTACTCTTACAATTTTTTTAGCGGCGTATCATTTCACTGCGTTTAGAATATAGACTGTAAGTAATCGGCTGCTATCGGTAGCCACTGGAGCAGTATCATTGACTGTTCCGGTACAATGGAATTAGAGTTCTGGTTCGATTCTCGTCCCGAATAGAGTAGGATAAGGAAGGTGGGCCCAGTGGTCGTGTGGCTTATACCGGGAAAACAGGATTTCAAAAAGGGGCCACTGGTGTCAATAACAACGGGACAAGAAACCCTAACTTATAACGATATTCTTTCGCGGTAAAAGGTAGTAGATTGCCACCGGCGCCAGTATACACAAAAAGACAGGATGACAGATGAAACTGAGCTTCTACGTGAAGAGGTGGAGCGCCTCACCCGCGAGCTCGATGAGGTCAGCCATCAGAAGGATCAGAGTGCGAGGTTTGGCCTGGTGCTTCTTGATGAAAAGGCCGCTCTTGGTCGCCGGTGTGAGGAACTCGAGTCGCACTATGAGGTTGCACAAAACGAGCTCGACATACTCCGAGAGGTAAGTGATTAGTTGGCATATTTATAATCATTTTCATGCCGATGAAAGTTGAAAGTAGCAATTCTGTGCCAACGCAACTGTTAACGGTGATTACCACAAATAAGATGGTCCTGGCCTCAAAGCCTTTTTCGGGAAGGATACTTAGCAGCAGAACTGAGTAAAGGCACGTCCTGGCCCGCCAGTTGCTTGTGCTACTGGAAAGACGTGTTGCATTGCCTATTACGTAGTGTTGTCTTCAAAGAGCGAATCACTGCATAGTAGCGTTTCAGCGTTTTCATTTAACTATGGATTACAGCCCCGCTGAATCACGTGTAATTATGGGTTAATGATTCATATTGCCGTGGTTTGACATGTGAAACGAGATGCAGTTCGTTGGAGCCCAATTTCCTAAGGGGAGAAGCTCCTAAATGCAAGGTAGCAGATTTAAAAAATCTGATTTCCTAATATTGCATGGTGTACGACGACGTTTATACAGCGCATACCAATTACATTCAACAAAAAACAATGCATTGAAAAGAGAGCAAGATATTTGTTCATAAAGACAACGAGCGACGTATCGGTGATATTTGTCGAAAATGGTCTGCATGGTACTAAAATAGTGCCAGCCGTGGCTTTTATTTTGGCCTGAACGATGTAGCCTATAGGTTAAGTACCTTACAGTTAGATGCGAAATGCGCGTCAGCTGGCGTCGTGACCAGACATTTATGTTATACAGTAACAAAATGAAATAGGATAAGTGTAAGATAAAATAGGGAAGAGGAAGTGTGGGATCATTGAAATTTTTTTGCCGGTAGTTATGCAAGTTTAGCCTCGAGCAGCTTAGTGGAGTGTATCGCATGTTGTCCCGCTCCACGTTGACACTAAAATTACGGAGTATTCTATTACTAAAACTGAAGGTACCTTTTTCTTATGTTATTCCTAATGTGCTAACAGCTGATAACAATAAGGTTGGGATTCCTGAGAGTGGGAGAAGCAAGCATACAAGAGTTAGCATTCTGGGTGTTGTCAGTGGTAACAACATCCGGCTAGACCGTTAGCAACCTCAGGGAGTTCAAAGAAGGAGTTGTTGCTTGAAGTTGATGCTGAAGCAGCTACAACAAAGTCATCCGTGCTGTGTGCTCACTAAGGTGTTCCTAGACGCATTAAATTCATGCACGGCTTTAAATGAAGTGCTAATAAGCGATCCAATGTAGATAAGAAGTGAAACAGAATTATCAGTGTAACAAGTACTGATTTACTATTAACAGTATAGTTTACAATCATACTGACCTGCTGGAGTGTTTTTCGTGTCTATACATTTCACGTTACAACATTTTAATACGCTTAGTGTTAATCACAATCGGAGGCAACCATATCAAATTGTGTTAACTATGCACCTTAACGTATGCCTTGCTAAATGTATGTCCAGCAATCTGAAATCTTTTTTTTCTCAATGCTATTTAAATTTTTATATATGTGCACTGAGACGTCTACATGCAAGAAGGTAACACACAGCTGATAGTAAATTTACAGATTTACGCAAGTTTTTAGCCACGTATTATTTTGTGGCCAGTTATAATTATGACTAAGAAAAAATGTTACAACTCATGCTTTTGTTGCATTGCATGGCGCAGGCTGCTGCAATGATAGAAGTAGTGCAACTTTCGTCTGACCAGTTCTTTAAGTTCCTTAAAGTGGGACCCGGTGACGACGCTTACAGCTACCTACTCCAAATAAACAGATCCTCTGCCATTGATACTCGTGATGCCGAAATGCGAGAACACTCATAAGGGCAAGACCAGCATGCTTAGGACATTGGTTGGGTCTGTTGTATGTTTGTTTGACTGAGCCGATCGACCTGTTACTTATGTGTGTAGCCGCTTTTTATACGTATGTCTCTAATTATCAGTTAACTGCCATCTTGCCAACCAAAGTTCAGCGATGGACAGGGTAGCAGCGACGTTGGCTTCAGCCAGCGTCGCTGCTACCTGTATAGTGTGGTCGCAGCAGTAACAACGTCACTATAAAAAGGCGGTTATATATATATATATATATGTATACATTTGTAATGTGTTGCTTTATCGAGCCGCTCTCATTGTTGAAATTCTGGCCCAGTAGATTAGTCGGTGACGGAACTAAAGCTGGGTGTCTATGAAAAGTAATGTGGGGGGCGCACCCATGGCCCGATTTACTGGTACTTCATGGTCGAGGGCGGTTAACGGCTGGCCGATAGCAGCAGCGCTACCAGTAGCGATTTGTGTGGCGAGAGATGAGCATCTGTAGTTCGGCTACAACACGATGGGGTTCCGCAGTGGCTAATAGTGTAGCACGATGGGAGTGCTCTTCCATTTGGTGGTATTCGTAGATGGCAAGCAAATCGAGAGGGAAAACGGGGGGAGAAAGGGGTATAGAATATCCTGTTACTGCTATTGCTGCTCCTGCTTCTGCTGCCGACGCGGATCATTTTCTACCAGGTGCTTTGGTAGTTTTTGATACGTCGGCTGTTATGTTCAACCGAATGTGAATAGAAGGTAGCACCAAGGGCGGATTAGTTTGAGAGGACTTGGCTAAGGATTATTAAGCCATTTCAAAAGCTGTTTTATCTACATATACAGTCGAACGAAACCATTTCTCACTACGTGCCTGCAACTACTTAAAAGTGTTATTTAGACTATCTTCGTAGCGTGAACAAAAAGAACGTAGTAGCTTGTACAACGTACATGTACGATATATACAGAAATATATGAGAAAATTGCACTGCAACTAGCAATTATATTAAATGTATATATCGTGCTTTACGGAAATGTCATACCACAAATGTTTGCACTGTCGTATCGTAGCGGTCTTCAACCATTGTCAAGATCAGAAATATGCTATTTGTTGGCGATTCCTGCTATCCATTATACGCTTGACTCCTTAGAAGCGTTTGGCAGTCTAACATAAGAAACGACTATAGATAATTTCGTCCATTTCTATTGCGTCCCTCTATTAAGCTACGAAGCCCGCTAATAAAAGATATATTATTTTTTGTGGACCTGCGCGGCTTTAGTAATGCTTGTAGCCAAAACAAGTTTGAGCAAAAATGTGCTTCGTACTCTAAACTTCACTCAATTTTTTGCTGATCATACAGATGTTTAATGGGAACGATAATAATGGTAACCATATGAGATGGACGGAATGCGAATCGGATATCTTGACCCAAAATTTAGACTGTCATTCACAGCTTTCTGCCAGCTTAACTAACTCATTAGTCTACATGCATAAGATAATATATAGTAATTGCCTACAAAGCAGTCCTCTTTCAAAATATCCCTATCAGTATAACATGTATTGTTTGGTCAACAATTGTTTTACTGGGGGTCGGTAAGGATCTTTTAGGTCGCCTCTGTGCTGCTATTTAAAAGAAGAAATTGAAATTCGTTACGGTGCTTAACGTAATTTACATATTTCGTGTTTCTGAAAGAAATTTTATCGCTCGGTCATTCAATAGAATGATCTATGAATATTTTTTAACTTGGTATTTACTGAGTGTATCGTAGTATCTCCTTCATTTTTACAAAAAAGTAGACAAGGGTCGATATCATGTTTTGCTATTAGTACCCCAGTATCGCTGATTGGCATACGATCATGCTTGGCATAAACAGTTGTCGCATTTCCTATTATTTTCGATGTTACGCTGGTCATCGTTTATAATATTTACTTTTTCCGTATTTTTTGATATGTCGAGACCCATAAAGGGTAAGTTTGCCTTAAGGGTTTAACAAAAATTGGGAAATTTCTGTTGGAACTGGCTGCTTCATAGGAGTATCAAAGAGTGTGGTGAAGACTATTATTGATTCAATTGAAACGTTTCTGATTTCGGCGTATAGGTGGATATAAGCGTTTCCTAAACATCGAACTAGTTAGGCAAGAGACCCTCTCTCTATGAAATCTAAACAGCTAAGACTTTTACAACCCGATTTTGGCAACGTTGTATTACTATTGTTGAAGTGACTACGTTTACTTTCTCTGCAACAAATAAAGAGCGCTAACTAAAGCTACCGTCACTCAAGCGGATAATCTAGGTTCCTAGCCCATTTCGCGGTAGTCGCATTTAACTATGATGGTAGATACGGCGCCTTTCTTCCTGTCCCTAGATCTACGTTAGTTGAAGCCGCAACTATGATGAGCCACGCGACAAGGTTAGTGCTGCCTATTAGGAAAAACTATTTCGTGACTTCTCCAATCAGCTTCCGCGCGGCCGGTTTGGGACTTCAGACTGACGTCGTTTAGAACTAACACTGTCCTCGTTGACGGAGTCAAAACACGGGTCATTGCTGTTCGGACATCATCTTTCATCTTCCAAAGGCATGGTTGAAGGGGGCATCGGCTTGCTTTTGAGGATTTTCACTTCACCGCTTAAGGCATCAACGCGGTGCAGCAAAGGCGCCATGTACGCCATTATTTTGCTTTCCAGTAGTGTATTAATCATATATTTCATGAACCTTTCGATTGACCAGCTTGGTACAGGTAAGTTAGGCAGTCGACCATTCCTTGCCGGTCCAGCCGGTAGCGGGTCTGTCTCATCAGCTATCCAACATGCAGTATGGAACGCTCTGTTGCATTTATTATAGCATAAGCTGAAGCCGTACAGGTTTTCATCACATCGCACACATAAGAGGATGCATCATTCTCTTCGAATGAAGGAGCCCTGTGCGCTTTTGGCCGCATAAAAATCGAGGTGCTGAAAATACTGCTGCGTTGGCCACCGCAGCTGTCCCAGTAGTCGTGATTCTACTGCGAAAAAACTTAATCCACGGGCGAAGTTTGAAGAAATCTTGCGTAAGCCTAAGTGGCGATTTCACTGACACTTTTTACGACATGCACGGTTCAGAAACTTCCATTAATAAAGGCTTAGCATTTTCCACGCTCATCAAGCACGGGGTTGCGATCAACCGATTGACATCAAAACGTTCTGGATTCGATCTGCGAAATGAGTACGGAGGTACACTTAATGATATCTGTAAAACGTTACAAAATGCGAGTTATCATTGCAAAGCAGTAGAGTGGTTACGAAAAATGTCGGTAGATGCGCAAAGAGGTAACGCTGCAATAGCAATAAGCGCTTTATTTCTCAGGGTCAACCTTTTCGTGGTAACATATAAGTGATACAGGCATTTAAAGCGTTTCACATAACTAGACACCCGCGACATATACTGGATGAACTATATATTACTTAAGGAGATTAAGTTTCAATGCGTTTACGTCGGAACATTATTATTTATTTTATTATGTCTGCGATATACGATGTCCTCGTTAGCCAACTTGATATGAATAGAAAACAGGGATATTTATATGAATGCAATACAAATGTATATTTTTATTAATAGACATTTGTATTACACTTGATTCATATGATGGATGTATTGAAATAAGGGCGTTAGGCAATACTTTTATGTGCTAACGAAAAATGTTTTCCCGCATACATGAGTTTGATAAAAATTAAACAACGAGGACTATGGAATTGTACATGCATTGAGTAAATCTGATAGAAAGGATACGGATTACTGCTGGTGAAGAATAATGAGAATGATTTCTACAAAGCACCTGTAGATGGTTATAGATATACGGTATTCCACCTACTGTTTATCCGCATATTGCATTAACCAAAGATCTTTGTTTACTTACAGGCACTACGGAAAGTGGAAACATCCCAAAGACTTTCTGCAACAACCGGTATAGAACAAGAAGATTCCCTTTTGCAGGAGTCTGCCCAGAAGGAGGCCTCGCTGACTTCGAGTCTTCAAGAACTTGAAAAGGAGCTTAAGTCAGTGAGACAGGAGCTGGGTAGGGTCACCGCGGAGAGGGACCGTGTTCTGGCGGACAGCGTTGAAATCAAAGAAAGTTACAGTAAAAGTGATTGGGAAAGGAAAAACTTGCGCTCGGAATTGAAGGATGTAAAACTGCGCGAACAGCGATTGCTCTGTGACAACAACGAGCTTGAAGAGGAAAATATTGGCCTACAAAAGCAGGTTTCTGTGTTGAAACAAAGCCAAGTTGAATTTGAAGTGTTCAAACATGAAGCGAGAAGGCTCGCTGAAGAAGTTGAGTCGCTGCAGGGCCAAACCGAGGAACTACACACACTCAAAGGTATTTGGCTTTTCTTTACTGTAATGTGGTTTTTGGAGGCTGCAGTTTTTGTATAGTTAGATTACTCTTTGAAATGCAATAATCAGGCGCTCTAAGATATGACCACCTGGTGGCGCCGGTTATTGTATACTGAGGTCAATGAGATTGAGCTGGATCCTGACGAGCGTAACGTTAACGTTAAGAACCGAAAACGTACAAGAAATGGACAACTAAGAATACTAATTATATGGTATAGGTATACTAGGTAGGTTGACTATCTATATGGAAAAGTGTATACATAGCGCCGCTCTTGTCAAGCATAGAAAAAAAATACTGAATTCTGTAAGTGTTTCGATTAACTGCGCCGAAGAACACACTGTCAACTCCACCAATGCAAGTCGAAGTTCTCTAATCAAACACCACTCATGGTTAAGTACGTACGTATACACTAACGAAGAAGTCAACGTTGGTTCAAAACGAACGATTGACAACGTCGGGTTCATTTTAATCACCAACGAGGTTCTTTTTCCTCTAATTAAATTTACTTTCGTACGACAGGAGAACGACAGCCAAATCTTTTACAAATATGTAATAGTAAAAAACTTAAGTTGACGACAATAGAAATAAAGACAAAACTTTAAAGAAAAAGCCGGGGAAGGCTTTAAATGTATGGATATTGATGAAAATAACATCTCCTTATACCTGGTATTTTTTTCTTCATATAAAGGAATGAATTAGCACAGCACTTTGTTGTCTCAACTGGAAATAGGTTTAGCATATCTGACTATCCATAAGAAGCTTTGGGATCCTACCGGACGGATCAAAATTGCCAAGTGGAAAAACTGTATCCAAAACGTGAAAGAAAATAGTGACTAAAATTAGTAGAATGCATCATCTCCGACTTGTAGACTTTGTTAGAGACATAGCCTTCTATCTTCTCCGTAGGCATCCATTTAAAAAACACCCATATGTTTAAGCAAAGGAAAATGGTATTCAGAAGTAAACCTAGAAAAAACGTAAACCGCGAGACAACAATTGAATGCGGCCCAAAGGCGTTAAACTCGGATAAGATCTCATTTCAAGCAATATAGATATTAGTTCGAGAATAGCCTGCATTTTAGAGGATTAGTAGATCGTCTCCTCCGGAAAAATCATTTCGTACTGTGTGGAAAGACTCGGATCTTATACTGAAACAAATAGACAGAACTGGACCGACAGCTCAGGATTCGTTATGTATGCTAAACACTAACTAAGATGATGGAATATATAATTATAAATAGGTTGGAGCGGAGGATAGGAAGAATAAAGGCAATATTAGGCTCCCGGAATGGACTCACCGAATAAAAACCTAACTTCAAAGTGTGTATAGAACTTCTAAGATACTCGAAACAGTGTTTTATGCTTTTTATTCTATTAGATATTAAAAACGTATTAAACACAGCTAATTGGAAAGTTCCTTCGTACCTCAAGAAATTCATCTCATTCTATGTAGAATGCAGCACAGTAGATACAAGGAGATAAAGAATAAAAATAATAGCGAAGGTATCGTAGTAGTTCGTACTGTTTAAACGTGCCAGAAATGCTTTAGGGAATTGAGCGTACTTTATTTACTGATATTTCTGTCCGGATAAAGGCAAAAACAGAAGAGGATCTCATAATTATGCGGCTGCGTCCCGGCAGTCCTGAGGATCTGTATAGAAGAGCACTACCATAAGACTGCAGCGTAGGAGTGTGAATGAATATCTGTCCCTTCGAATTTAGTAAATATACAATAGAAATTAAAGAGCGTTAATTATTTGGGGGTTATCCTTAATAATGTATATATTGAGCAAGTAGCAAGAAAAAATGTGAAAAAGGAGGTCTTTATCTCAGTATGTTAGTGCCTTAACAAGTGTGAGAAGCAACGGAAGGAACAAAACTCCTATTGGCTACCACGACGGGGTCGGTCGCACCTTACACCAGTTCTATTTGGGCGGACACCTGGGCCCTTGATCAAAGGAATGTAAGTACGCTGCTAGCAGGTCGAAAAGCGGTTCCAGTACGAGTGGTACGAGCATACAGAGCTTCATTTACTGTACATTTGCCAGCAAGAATGATCTCGTGAATTCTCTCTGCGGAGGAAGAAGTCGAGTAATGTCCTGTTGAAAACAGTGATCCCCAGACGACCCGGGCGAGTGCATTACGCAAGTTAGAAGAAGATAGGTCACAGGCTAGACTTAAAGACGCCTGCGGATGATACATCCATGCATTTATTAAAAACAAACGTACATGGTATAGTAGACATTTTGGTGAGCTTATTAACCATGTAATTGAAGTGTTAAATGGCCAGTGGTAAACCTCATAATTCACTACTATACAAGCCTTAATGGTCCGTAAAACGCGAGTTGCTAACTGCCGGTTATCTGAATTTTGAAATAAACCCGAACGAAACATAAACGAAGACGGAAGTCGGAAGAAATCAGAACATCTCCTAAGAAACAATAAAGACTCTATATCCTTTCTCTGGATGTTTTCGCTGCAACATGCATAGCCTTCCGAGCTTTGATGGTAGCCAGCTGCGGAGTATAGAGGTTTATTATACTTTCAAACACAGACCGAGTCCTACACATACGTTTTTATACAGACTACTTAAGGAAACAGCTCCGCGTATCCCAAAAAACTGGCAAATGTGTTTGTATACACCCCCTTAAAAAACTTACTGGCACTAAAGTGATGCGTAGAGCCCTTCAGTTCGGCTTCCAGTAAAGTTGGTTATTGGTTCTTGAACAATCGGTTGTAAAACCGCTGTGTAAACGATAGTGAGGCATAAATCTCACAATAAAGAGTTGTCAGGTTATTCAACATAAATAAAACATGCTCAGTCTCTGATAATATCGAATATATAGAGAGGGACAATTCCTGTTAATAAGAGATGTATCCCAATTAGGGCACTGAGATTGTATTATACGGCACTTGAAAGGACAAGCATACGATCTTGTTCTCTAGGAGTGAATATTGATGTTTTGCGAAAGCTGAAACCAGTGAACTAGATACCCTTACCTGAAGGGTAAGGCTGGATTCTTTAGACAGAATGAGGTTGCATGGGACAAAACGGCTGTACACATCGCTGGCTAAATAGTTTTTTAAATGGAATGTTACAGGTCTCGCTGAGAAACAACTTGAAGAAGCCCTTGAAGCGCTACAAAGTGAGCGCGAACAGAAGTATACCCTCAAGAAGGAGTTGGATCAACGCGAACAGGCTGCTGCGCATTCCGGAAACCTTGCAGGATTGCGGCTTGATCTAGCAGAAGGTGCGACCGATGACAAGATTCGACCATCTACTGTCGGTGACCTATTCAGCGAATTACATCTGACTGAGATTCGGAAGCTGGAAAAGCAACTCGAGACTATCGAGCTGGAAAAAGAGTCGCTAGCAAAGACGCTTGATGACGCCAAGCTTGAGCTAGAACAAAGTCGATCCGAACTCGAAGAAAAGCAAAGCAAACTTTTGTCTTTTGGTCAGCGCATTGATGCTATCGTTATGCAAGCGGAGAATGAAGCCAACGCGAAATCGGCAGGTCTGCTGTCCACATTGAAACGGGTTCAAAATGACCTGTCAAGTTCGGACGGAGCTGCTAGCACCGAAGGAGGCGAGAATGTGCTATTTAAAGATCAAGTCGCCAACCTCATGAACAAGATCTCGACGTACGAGCAGCAGATCTCTGATCTTGATGAGGACTTGAAAATCTTGGAAAATATTGGAGATACTTTCCTGACCAATATTGTCTCCGCTCTTGAGGACATTGCATCTGTTCAGGAGGATGTCGCTCAGTTGTATCATCACGTGTGCACACTTAATGGGCAGACGCCGAACCGAGTCGTTCTGGACCACGCAAAGGGAGAGCAAAAAGAAGGTCACAAGAGTCGGGTTGAGGTACTTGCTGATAACCTACAAACAAATAACTGTCGGCAGTTGGCCTTTAAACGTGTGGATCCTAGCCAAGTCAAAGCACAAGTAGAAACCTTGAAGGATCAGGTGAAGTTTCTCAAAGAAGCCGTCGAAAGCGCACTGGGTAATCCGCATAAGCTTATAGGAGCAGGTGGCGTCAACTCGGGCTCCACCTCACTCGAGGAGGGCGACCCACAGGAGCAGATCATCAAGCTCAAGTCGCTACTTTCAACTAAACGGGAACAAATCGCTACGTTACGTGCCGTGCTTAAGGCCAATAAGCAAACAGCCGAAGTGGCACTGGCCAATTTGAAGAGCAAGTACGAGACGGAAAAGGCGATCGTATCTGAAACGATGCAGAAGCTGCGGCACGAGCTCAAGAGTCTAAAGGAGGACGCTGCGACTTTCGCATCGTTGAGGGCGATGTTCGCCGCCCGCTGCGAAGAATATGTCGCACAACTCGACGAACTACAGCGACAACTGGGCGCTGCAGAAGAGGAAAAAAAAACGCTCAACTCGCTGCTCCGTATGGCCATCCAACAGAAACTTGCGCTTACCCAGCGACTTGAGGACCTTGAGATGGATCGAGAGAGGTCCCACCTCCGCAGGTTACTAGTCTACACTTCACTCATACCTTTGGTTGCAGTGGTTCTGTATTACATTGTGATAGCTTCGGAGAATACTTTGCCATTGGCTAATACAGACGTTTACAAGGCCACTTCCTAGCGAAAAAAAAAACTGGATTATTTTCAAGAGCATCACTTGTTTCTTTCCAAGAAAGCTAAAGTTGAAATAAATAATTTAGTCTTCTATTGAGTGGCTGATTTTCCGATGACAAGACTACTGATTTAAATGAATTCATTTTATGTTGAAGTGGAAGCTGTGGCTGTTTTGAGCTTCTATGTTTATTCTTGTTTTAAAGATCTTATAATATTATAAACTTCGCGATTTTAAAGGAGCATTTTCAGAAATTACAGGACTGATTAACAAGCTCTAAAATTTACACAGCTGCGGTGAAACTAAATAGACTATAAGAACTTCCGCAAATGTGGCGCCCTAACAACAGCCTCCCATTTTATCCTAAACAAAGATCACAACAGCTAACGGAATTGCAATTTTGTGTGCAAACGATGTTGTAATTTTCAGGTCTGGGTCAGCTACGGCCTCGCCCCGAGTAGCGCGTAGCACCCCCCGCGGTAGCCCACACCACAGTTCATTGCCGTTCTTCAACAATCAACGACAGCAGCCTAGACAGTCGGGGGACTTCTGAGCAGGCTGCGCCGCCTATTCTAACCACCGAAACCCCCCACAATAAGTTCTATAACGTATATCTAATATACGCAGCACCAGAATAAATTACATGAGTTGGAGGTTCAAATAGCCTTCAGGCACAACAGCAGGGCAACAACGATTACAAACAACTGCAGGCAATTGAGGCAAACTAAGATCAACAGGGCTTAATTTGCCTGAATCAGGTTAGCTAGTACCACAACCCAGATCGACGTTGATTACGATTCAACACTCAATAGTATCCTTTTCCGTGCAGTACATTCTAAAGGAAACAATTGAGGGTCTCTAAGTGAGAGAAAAATGAGCACGATCTGGAGTACCTTTTTGGAAGTAATCTTGCATTATGTGCGTGAATCCTCTGGAGGACATTCCTTGGACGTGAACCAGGGAGTCTTTAGGGTGAATTGATAATTAATCTTTGGGTTAGGTTGCACCTAGATAAGGAAATATGTAAGGATAAAATTTGACTCAGAGAAAAAAGAACCAGACACCGCAAGTGATTTTCGAACACCAGCAACCGTGCACCACCGATTGCGTAGATGACAGCGAACAGCATGAAACCCTCTGAATCAATGAAAAAACAGAAACTAACCTGCGTTTACCAGAAACTACAGAATATATATGGTTATAAAAAGTATTACTAACTATACGAAAAGGTTGCATTGTAACCGTGCGAACAAACAAGCCAAATGGAAGCTCTGCGATCGCGACTTCAGCCCATCGTCTGTTCTCCGTTAATGAAGAGACTTCGTTGACCATCTCGCATCCAATTCCTTACGCGAATGGGTTCACCGATCTGTTATCGAAATGGGGAACTCTTTGACGCGGACGTTCCTATGCGCCATTATACAATATTTTGTAGATTTTAGTTTGGTATTTATTTATTGATCGGATGTGGTCATCATTACGTTGGCAGATCTGGTGTTGACTGCCGCAATAGTGAGATACTTAACAGTTTATTGTTGGCTAACAATCGGAATGGACCTTAACTAAGATAACAAGATACCTACATCTACATCTGTGTGACATTAATGCTTTTGTTGCCCCTTCTGTCACGCTTTCCTTCTCCCAAAGTAAGAATCACCGGTTATTGGTGCCCTTTTGTATTTTGATTATCAAATCTTATTGGTGCTGTTTTATATTTATTATAACCAGCAAAACGCTGTTAGCGTATACGTTTACATGACATAGAAGCAAGAAAAAGTTATTAGCATTCCAAGCAGAGCTTGAGGTAATTTATTACCTAAGTTCTATTAGGGGATATTTATTTGGCAATCCCGTCTTCATTGTTTGTGTTCTGTAAGCGTATGGCGTAACTTAGATTGTACTTAGATTAGAGTTCCAGATTGTAGCTCTGTGTTAATTCAGACTGAAGCGTCCAGATCCAATAATTAATATTCTAAAGATCTTGGGTTGGATTACAAGGTTACAATATCCGTTTGTAAAAGAAGGATACTTTATTTATAAAACAAACGAACGCTAATTGTGCAAACTTGAGTAAGATCTAATTTAGCAGTAATTGAACCAATAAATAGTATAGCACGATAATGTACGGCAACCTTTGTACAGCAATGTCCTAATTTTATAATACCCTATTTCCAAATAGACATTTCCTGATATCCAATAGTTTAGGTGTTTACTGCAACCGATCTTATTGATGTACTTAATTAATTGAATGAAACTGCTAGATGCTTTTGCTATTCTAATCTTAGCAGCAGCACTTAAAACCACGGAGGCTAATTAGCCTTAAGTCTCTGTTTATAATTATTATAAAATATATAGGTAGATATAAGAAAAACACCAACTACTAGTGGTAAAATATATATAGAAGAGACATGACAAATATCTGCACAGTATGATATAATTTATAGTAATTAAGTGACAATTGATATTTATTACTATTGTAATATTATTACTGCATCACAGTAATAATTATTACCATAGTAACTTAATAAATGAAAAAATTGTGTTCCGCGTAGCTTTTGTTGATGTTTCAGAAAACGACAAAAGCCTGTAACTGTTGTGATACGATAAGACGAGTGGCTTACAATATTGTCATTGCTATATCGTAACTACTACTATAAAGAGATAAATCAAGAAAACCCCAGGCAGGAATACCTCGCTCCAAAATATTTATTAATACTACTATCAATATAAATAAAAATTAACGTAACTAATTTACTATTGCTTATGTAAATAAATATGCTTATGGAGATGAGCACGCATGATGACTATATGCTTCGTTTATCCTTTGAGAAACATACACTTGCAGTGCAAACTTGCGTCACGTGTCGACATGATCAGTGAATGAGAAACTGATGATTGACCATATCTTTATAGACTAGACCACTTATTACGAGAACGAAGAAATCTACTTGAGGCGTGATGGTGGTGGGTTTTGTATATTATATTATATATAATGATAATATATCAATGATAATTGATGTTCTTAGAGAAAAGGAGACGGTCATGGTAATTTTTGATTATGGCACATTACTGATGATAACGATTACTATTGCTTTGACATCCAAACATGATCGTTATCATTATGATTATTACTAGCATTGTAATAATAAAAATAACGCAAAAGATAACGAAAAAATTATACGGTTACTAACGTTATTGCAACAGTTCGGTGAAGTTATCGTAATAAATCAATTGAGAGTAGCTGATGCGAAGCTGTACCTCTTACCGATTATGACGGCAATGGATGAAGATGATTTGAATTCGGGGATTCTCACAACTGCGGTTATAGAGGCGGGAAAAAGAACGAGAAAGAAAGTAAGAGACACAGAAAAAAGCCAGAGAAAGAGGAAATAATCTGGAATCGGGATGGATGATTGTACACACTTTTTTAGCGATAAGAAATAAAACCGTTGAAAGCCCACTTAATATCTCATCTGTTACTATAATTATGCTTATAGGAGCTTCGTTACACTGCACTACCTATCTGAAACAAAGTTGAATGCTTCCGATGAGTGTCTAAAGTGAAATTAGCGCTTGAAACCATATCCCAGAGAACGTCTCATCAAAAGCATATAACTTGCATGGGAGGTCGCTATTAAAGCCATTCAAGTAGTATCCGATAGGATCACGTAATTATATGTACGCACCATCAAAAGATGTTAGAGAACTCTTGTGGCTAATATACAGGCGCATCTCTGAAGATGTCTTCGTTAAACGGCGTGGCGATGAAAAGTAAACCGAAGTTTAATTTTAATTTTGAAGGTAATTTTTTGAAACGTTTGTTCTTATTATATATGGCAATGGCGACTTTAAGCAAAAATGTTAGCAAACGAAGAACCATACGCTTTTTTTTGGAGGACTCATTTTTTATGCATAAAAGGTATCACTTTTATCAACGCCAACTAAAGGTTTCCTGAAATGGAATCATTAACCGGGGTTTCGCCTTAAAATGTAAAGACGAAGAGTATTGGCCGAGAAACAAGCGTAATCGCTGTGCTGTATATATATATATATATATATATATATATATTATATAACACTACAACTCAAGAAGACGCTTTTCTGACACATTATAACTTGACTGTTTTTATTCACATTTTATACAAATTTACATCACAATGGAGGTCGTACACTCAATGAGGTATATTGTTATTCGTCATTACCACAAAACATAATTTATTTCTAAAGCTATAATTAATGAAAGGTTACGATGTTTTCAGAATTGATAATCTTTCTTTACTACTTGAATACACAGCTTCATTAGAACGAATGCAAGAAATGATACACCACAATGGCACGATTCTTACCGAGATGCCTTTCCCTAAGGACGTCTATACAATGCTATTTAAATTGAGTGAATTATTAGCTAAAGCACGCCGAGTTAAACTAGCGTTCGAGTTCCAGACTAAGCTAAATATTCGAAATTCAGTATATGTTTTAACTTTTCACTTCAATTCAAGACTTCATTATAGAACTTGCGCTCCCCAACCTACCGGAGTCTCCTCAATGAGCACCTCTCCATCGCACACCACGAGACTTGTCTGGTGCTCTTCATTGCGCAGTAGCTTGACTTTCTTTGCTTTTAACCCTCTTCTACCACCTATATGAGCGTTCCCATTATTCCGGGGTTGCTTTTTTCCTTGGCTCGAATAAATAAATTTTCGACGCATTCGCACGTGCTTACGTCGACGAGCTTTGAGTACGGCACGTCGAACATCTCTAACCGCCTCAATGCCATGTAGCTCTTGTATATGTGTCATAAGGTCGTGTTCTGTGTAACAGTGTTCTGCACATACTGCACACGTTCGTAGATTTTGGTGCACGAGTCGCAGTTCGGCACGCCGAAGGTCTCCAGATGATTTTGCCTCGAGGTTAGACAGGAAACAAACATTTGGGCTGCCAAAACTGTGATGTTCACGCAGATGGTTCAACAGTAGTTCAGGTATCTTGAAACTGTGCGTGCAGTGTAAGCAAGCAAAAGCGCGCTCTTCCCGATGTACCATGAGGTGGCGAAGCAGCAGAGAATAAGTACCGGAAAAGAAACGGCACAATGGGCAGATGGTATACACTCGATTTACAACCTGTTTGTAGCGTCTTACAATCTTTTCGATTGGTCCCAGCGCCTCCTGTCGTATTGGCCGGCGTTTAGCTCGGCGCCACCGCCCCCTTTCAGTGAAAAAACGGGACGATAAGACATGTGCGGCGGCTTTTTTAGCCTCCGCGTTATAGGACGCAGCCTGCGAATCGCTTCTCTCGGACGTTGTAACGCAGTACTGTTCTTGTTGTGATATATATAATTTATACTCTGTGGGTTGTACGTACTGAACCTGGTGTTGTTCGCCTTGCAACCCTGAATGAAGTGCTTCCGAAACCGAAGATACAGCAGCTTCTAGAAAATCTTGCTCGATCTCCTTAAATAAATACGTATAACTTTTACAAACATACTAATAATTAGATTGCCAACGCTGCATAGTTTCTATCTTACGGTCATGAGCTAAACAGAAAACAGTAATGACACATAAGCAGAGTATAATAGTCTTATAAACACGGAAACGTTCAATTGCCTTCCTTTTTTTTCTTGTATCTATGTAGGTGTACTGCTTTTCAAGACAAAAACAAGTGAACATACATACGTACCTGTTGAGTAGTCTCGATATCTTGATTCTCAACTGTGGCCGTTGCGACCACTTCTTCCTCTGTATACGTCTCAACAAAGAATCCCTCAGGCACTTGCTCATGATTGAGTAATGTTTCCTGTCGTCCCATGCTTCCCCGCGGTGGCAACTCAAAATATTTAGGCTGAGCACCCATATTATCAAGAATGTCTGGACGCGTCTCACGCGTCCATTTGATCTGGAAAACCTTTATTACAGAGCGACATAAAGACAATTGTAGTCAAGTAGGGTAACTGATGTCATATTTAAGCCAAAACATCGTTGTTATTATCCATGTCTTGTAAAGCATACCTTTGACGACTTAAATTCTTCGCTATCAACTTGACACGGAGTTGACACCTTGGCCAATGCAGCACGGAAGCGCTGTTTAGATTCCATCCAATACTGCGGGTGGGTCTCTACCACGTCTCGTTTTTTAAGGCGGTCCCATTCACGAAAGACAATGCAATCATCGACGCGCCACTCGGCGCCATTTTTGTGTGACCAACTCATGGCAAAGGTGCCGGATGAACGATCGACCTGAACAGAATTTCAAATTTTTTAAACAGCCTGCTATATTACTAAAGAATATAACAATATGTTTCAAGACATCTGAATTCCACTGATATGCAGAGTGCATCCGTTCGTTATACGGATAAAGCTCTAATAAGATCTCCTGCAAATGGCACGGATATCAAATGGTCTAGCACAATGATTCTCTCAGGGTATCTAAAAAGTTATACGGCATACAGGAAACTCACCGTTTCCGGAAAGTCCCGTACGATTTATGCTCATTCTTACTTCTATAAATATTTATATTCAGATAGAAGCGTATGTTTAAATAAAAAATAGGCAAAATCATTTGTCAAAAATGTGTTTTAAATAACATCTAACTTTAGTTCTAGCAGACAGACGTCTGACGTATACTATAGTACTTCCTTGTGCATTTTTTTGTTTTCTAGCATTGAAATATATCTTACTACTTAGGTATGTGGTAACATAATAAAACAAGAATACACGTTTTTTTTTTAAAAAAAAGTCAGGCTTTGATGAGCTTTCTGTAAAGACTGCAGAATTTGTAGAGCACCGAGTGTCTTCGATGTCGTCCTGCAATTTAAATCCATAATAACCATAACTTACGACGATTTCATGCGGAGCTTTAAACTGATACCTAAAAATTATGGAGCGTGCGACATAAGGGTTATATTAAGGTGATAAATGCTGCTTACCCATACGAGTCGATTACCAAAGGTTCCATTGTCAAGATGCGGCAAAAGAAAATCTTGAATAAGCTTTGGTCCTTTCTTTTGTGACTGCGCCGGCGTGCGTCGTCGAGACTTCATGAGGCGAGCTTCAGAGTTAGCGGTAGACCGACTAATATAACAACCAAAATACGAATACACACGCATTATAGCATAACTATTTTTGTATCGAATAGCACAGCCCTTATGGTAAAGATTGTCCGGGTGCGTACCAATACGAGTGAAGTTTAATAAACTGGCTGTTTTATCAGAAATTTAGCATTTTTACATCGATTCATTTTTTATATAAGCCTAGATAGAAATGACGTATCTGTTCTACTTCAGCACTTGTATCAGCATTTTTTTAGACAAAATATTAGGTAATAATGTGTACTATAAAGGTCTCAATAAAATCATAGCATAATTACACAGTTTTTAGCAAAATGGCAATGTATTTAGCGCTTAAGAAGTTGATACATTACGTGCATTTTCAAAAAAATTTATTATATCTCATTTTTCAACTTAGATCATTTAGGCTACACGGAGCACGAAACCCTACGCGTCTACTTAGCTCATTCTAAGTAATTTAATCGCATGCGTATGAGCACTTTATCCTTAAATATAGTTAAGTTTTGGTAACTTGCGGTATCTAGGAATTCATAATTACTTTTCATAATCCATGGACTTTTGCAATGATGGACAAATCCGGTTACGGCCATAGCCTATACCCAAGCCGGATAAATATTCGACTGAAGTATTTCTCGAGGCTCCACCTGCTTTTTTGACGACAAGCACTTCCTGTTCGTTCACCATCACGAACCGTGTATCCGCTGGCTTTTCGGTATCTTCCGTTTCGTTATTAGCATCTTCGAAAATCTCATTTAAGCCTTCCGCATTATCTTGAACCTCAACCACCGACTCTTCCTGCATTAGGCAACGTATGTACAGTAATGCGTACGACAAAGTTGTTTAATTTGTATTCAGCGGTTAATGCTAAGGAACGCGTTATCGTAAATGGGCTGTAAGCAAATGTACTGCTAATATAAAATGGTATCCCATATAACAAACAATACAATCTTTCATGAAAATCCTTCGTAGCACAGTGCGCTCAAACTAGAGCGTCATGTATATGTTCACCCTCACCTGGTGTTCGACTTCTTCGGTCTGATTCAAGTGTTCTTCACCGTCTTCTACGTATATAATATCGGTTGCATCCGCTAAATTTTCTTCTGGCTGGTTTTCTTGTTCAGTTTCTAAACCCTGTACGTCATCCTGCAGTCCAGGGTACAAAACCACCGTAGTTCCATCGGCCCTCTGGCAAATTGATACTTCAGACTCAGGAATGACCTATAATACATAAAGATACAGTAGATTGGCTCTTT